ATGCATTTCGGTTTGAAGGGTGGCCCCATCCTGCCCGCAACGGCATCCCAGCCGTTGTAAAAATACTGAGACCTTAGAACTTATATCTCAGGAAGGGTGGCGCACTTACGTTGTAGATGTCTATGTACTCCTCTACCACTTAACACCGGACGGGCTGTGAGCTCGTCCACCCAACTAAGCAATAAAAAAATTAAAAAAAGCAAAATACTCTGAGTCTTTTAGATTTTTATTTTAATCTGCACTCATAATGAACTCAAAAAATCAACCAAATATGTTACCCTCAAAATTAACAGCCACCGAATAGATTGCATTTCCAAAACGAGCATGGCCACGTCAATTCCATGTATATTTTACTTCGGTTTACTGGCAATTTCAGCTACAAACAATGCACCGTCAGTAAAAGCGCGAAATTTGCTATGTCACGTGACGCTGCTATAAATAAACCGATTCCACGCTCACATCCGAAATTAACGATTCGTCTCTGATCGGTGTTATTAAATGTTCGGCAACTCGCGTTTGAAGTTCCCTTCTTAATTTAGACGATCATAAACCGCATTACGGAAGTGAGTTCCGCTCATTTAAGAATGAGGGGGCTCTCGGGAATGTTTCGTGGTAGAAGAATTTATGGTCCACCCAGGGCTCTTAGACGCGGTAACGCTAATGTTGATTACGAGACTCATGAATTCGCGGCAAAAATATACAGGGTTTTTGTAGCTAGATGGATGGACGAGCTCGCGGCCTACCTGGTTTAAGTGATAGTGAAGTAGATATCTACAATGTAAATGCCGCCTTGAGATAAAAGTGCTAAGGTCTCAGTAATTACAGTGCAACGGTTGTTTCACCCTTCAAACCGAAAATTTAAAAAAAAAAATTGGTATTAGAGGAATATTTCGAGGAATATTTTTTTATTTGTTAGGTGGGTGGACGAGCTCACAGCCCACTTGGTGTTAAGTGGTTACTGGTGCCCATAGACATCTACAACGTAAATGTGCCACCCACCTTGAGATATAAGTTCTAAGATCTCAGTATAGTTACAACTGGTGCCCTACCCTCAGACCGAAACGCATTACTGCTTCACGGCAGAAATAGGCAACCTACCCATGCGGACTCACAATACGTCCTACCACCAGTAAAGTGTTTCTATAAATATATTATTATGTTGATAACATTACCAAAATTCAGACCGGCCCATCTCAATGCCCGTTTCGTAGGTGACCAACGTGAAAGTAATATTACGTGTAATAATTCATTCTTCACCCTGGGGTCCCGCGACTTTGCGTGGGTCACCGATCGATATCATGATTTAGGTTGATAATGCCACAGTCGATACAAATTTATCGACACCCTCTTTTTAGGGACGAAAAGCTTTTAATGAATGAATTCCGTTGAGATTATTAGGGTGAAGGGAAAATTAACACGTTGAATGCCACATGAAAAATCGAGTATTTTCATTCAGGCCACGGTGCTCTTACTGAATCGTTCGGGCGATGAGGATCACCCGCGAGCCGCGTGAGGGTTCCTATGTAAACCCTTCCTACAGCCACAGATTTCAGCTATCAAACAAGACGCGTATGGAAGTGAGCCACGCACAATCCCACCGCCGTCGAGCGGGGGCTAGGCTAGGAACCGGATCTCGCCCAAACCTTGGCCCTCTAAGTGTTTCGGGTCTCTCCACATGTCGGTCTGGGGACCGGCGAGGGGGGCCTAAGAAGACGATGTGCAAGCTGCTCTGCGCACGTTTTACGCAAGAGCATCCGGGTGATGGAAGGCTGGCTATCCTCAACCTACGCTGGTTCTGGCCAGCGGGGTATTTCGTAGGATAACTCACTCTAACCGGCGCCATCTAGGCGGACTTCGGATAGCCTGCCGACAGAGAGGGCTGTGGTCGTGGCACCGACGACCGCCGGTCCGACGTCCCGAGGGAGAAGGTGATGGGAGGGATGTGCTTCGCACTAAACGCTTCACTTTCCCCCCTAGTTAGCGAATTTTATAAATTTTAGAACTTGAATCTCAAGTTGATAAAAATTACTGATTCCCTGATTTTGGCTTGGCCCAAATGGTATTGTACTAGGCCCACCGGTGAGCCGCATGGCGTTCAACCTGTTAAGTATGTTTTCTTTGTTCGTGTAGATGGACTACAAGGTCAGGGTGAAAAGTGGTGTATCAAACCCATAGGTACCATGTCGTGGAATCCTTTGCCTACTATAATACAAAGAATTTTCAATGTCGTAATAGTTCAGATTTAATAATGAATCAGAATTAGAAGGAAAAAAATTAAGTTGATAATTGATTGCATTTGACTGGAATTTATTGGTCATAAGGCACAACTTTGCACTGCCTTTGGTACCGCAGCCTTATCTATTTCGGTCGCAAATCAGTTATGCGTTCCGGTTTGCAGGATGGGATGGTATTCATACAAGCATTGAAACTTCTACCTAATGTCTCAGCGTTGACGGTGACATTTCCAATGTGATCTATGCGAACTGATATTACATTAAAATATGGAATCAAAATTTAAAATTCATAAAAACGAACATAAAAATCTCAAACGCCGGGCATCCCTCAATGTATGTACACTGAGGAATAAAACCCTCGTCACATCGCGTATCCGAAAGCAAAAGTATTGCAACAACTGAATATTTAATGGAATAAATTGCATTTCTTCGTTTATTTTACGACGCGGACGGTGGCGCGACGTCAAGTGGAAAGATATGTATAAATTATTCGATTGCAGAATGATAATTTTAGCATTTTTATTACAGGAAGGAGAACCGCTTCTATATTCCATAGCAAAGCATTTTTCACTCGACCGAACTTTACATATAAATTTCACGTCCACACTCTAATGTGTAACATGTTTTGGCTCTCCGCTTAACAGCAAAAGAAAATGAGAACAGATCTGCCGCTTTACAATAATTAGACTAAACAAATTTCAACTCACATGAAAAACTTTAATATTACATTAGATTACAAACATTATTAAGCTATTGCATAGCTTTAATCGCGAACTTTGAGCGCGGCGACCGAATCATGAAATTCCGTAACGAAAATAAAACCTAACACCCCCACTCCGCCTACTATATAGCTCGCGTTCAACACATTCACACGTTGCGCTTGTGTGGTGTTCGTGAATAAGCGCGCGGCGTGACGTCGCACTGCATGCGCATCATGAAAAGTCTAGCCATCTCTCTCTAGGATATGAGTCTTTTTAGTCTAGGATATGAGTATGAAGGGGACAGTTTGCTTTTGTTATTTTATTATTGTTTCAATATTAAATTATTATTGTCTAATTATAATTGCATACGTTCATAAAAAATGCTATGTAATAACTTTACCGCGGCAGTCCCCGAGTGCCACACGTGTTTTTATTTTATTTAGTTATTAAACTTCATGTAAATATAAATGTTAGACTTAATAGTTCACCGTTACTTAGACATTACATAAGCGTTAGGCTAAGGCATTCTTTACCAGTCAACCAAAGGTAAATGTATAGTAAATAATGGTAGGTGCATTAAAATTGACATTAAATTACAAATACATACATACCATACAAAAGTGCTCTCGCAGAAAAATCGTAAACCATTTTGAATATTTCGCGTGAAATATAAAAATCACCTTCGTGCATCCGATGTTGTTCATTTTAATACAGTCGAAGCGTTCCACGGTCATAGCTCCGTAACTGAAAATGTGTGTGTACCATTTATGTATTCCTATCTAGAATTTTCTGTGCTCAGTTTTAGCGAAATATGAAGGCTTTGAATACTAAAGCAGGAAATGACGTCAACTAAAGCTAAAATTCTCGTCGAAAGCACGGACGAACAGCGTCCCGGGGCTTATAGAAAAAACAATATATCATATAATATATAACATGTACATAAACTCTCTAAAAGTAATCCAATCCCGTTCCTGCAGGATAACTCGCGGAGCATCGTAAAACGTGAGGAATATCGACCTACAAGACGACTTAAATTTAGAACCGTTACATAAGTATCTCAAGAAAGCGTCAGAATGCTTCTTCGATAAAGCGGCGCGACACGATAACCCTCTTATTGTGGTCGTGGACGGGTCAACGCAAGCCTTGTCTGTCTTGTCTTCCGACGCATGTCTTTTTACTATAGTATAATCACCCCCACCGCCATACTACACTTGCTACCGGGCATTGGTGGTAGAAGAGCCCGTGCGGGAGGTAACCATCACCGTGACTATATCGGCCGCGAGGCAGTCATGCGTTTCAAGGGTGAGGGGTTATTCAATATAACCCCAAAGTAGATTGTGATATCCGATAGCCTCTTAACACCGGGAGTGTCTAGCGTTCATTAAAATAAACCAATAAAAAACACAAGGACTTATAAAAATAAAATTCCAATATTATGTTTTAATAATGTATTTATTCTTCGTAAACAGTCTTATAATCGAGCGATCAGTTTACACAATACGTACATAAACTCCGTAAACAGTAATCCAATTTGGCTGAGTACTAAGCGAATTTCTTTTACAAGAACTAATGATTACGATCGTTGTTTCTGTAAGGGATTTACAATTTATAACATCATTAAATAATTACTTACAGTTTATATATTTACACGAAATTGAAACATTGTAATTGAATTACGTTCCTTTTTAAGCATTTGTTTTGTGTCTGACGTCGAAAAAGGTGTACAGGCCGCGCCGATAATGTCCGTTCATCGTATTTGAGAAAGAGAAAGCACAATCGGCTCTGTAGAGCGCCGTCTCTGTCTTTCATTTGTACGACGTTTCCCTCTCATAATCGAAGCTAGCCGCTACCATTGATTCTCACATTTTTGAGTACGATAACCGTTTTTTGTTGAGCTTGTCATACGCACGTAATTTTTACGCTTATGTGACAAAAAATAATGCGGTTACGTGACTCTGAACCTTTATTTAAATTAGCTTAGCGAGTTATTCGTAAATGACATTTTTAGATCTGAATTCGCCGAAAAAAGTATATTAAATACTTTATTTTGATCAATTTTTATTTTCACACTAACTTGTGATTAATTGACTCATTAATAGCACTTTTGTATTCAAATGATTGTAATTTAACAAGAAACATTTGAATGTATGTAACGTCAGACACAAAAGTTTAAAACAACAAAGACAATATTATTTACATCTTAAAATAACTACGTAAACATGTATAAATACGCGAACAAACATAACGTGCACAAAAATATCCTGTTTGAATGGAGGAAGTTGGATGTATCTCCTTTAGCTGCTTCCGTTAGACCTGTTAAAAGGAAGGAAATAAAATTAAAATACCAAAATTTAAATTCGAGAAATCATAGTAAAATATGATACACTCAGTCTGAATATCTCCGATTTTGACTTGTTTTCTTCATACAATTTTTTTTTAAGGGATTTTATGACCTGGTAACTGAGACCTTTAAGTCATATTGTCTTATTTTAATTTATATTCATGTTTTTATGAAAAATGATATTATGGAGTGAAATGGAATGAAGATGATTAATTTGAAACAATTTGAAACATTAATCAACTGGGAAGAAATTAAATGAAATGAGATGAGATGATATGGGATGAAATATAATCTCAGTAAAATGGTACTAATATTTTTTCAGTGGACTTTTTGGAGGATCCCAAGAAGTTACGTCCAGCGGCTTTGTTTCATTTTCCCACATTTGTGCACTTTCACAGATATTAAACAGTTAATAAACCACCATTATTACACATTTAAACCCGAAGAAACACTAAAAAGACAAAATAAAACAAATCACACCACTTCACTCCTCGCGTTCCCGCCAAAAAGTCCCTCTTCATACAAAGAATCATTATATAAATGTACTATTGCAGGATATGCTTGTTTGAAGGATAAATAATTGGTATTAGAGGAATATTTCGTAAACAATTTGTATTTTTAATTAAAGTTTTAAAACTTCTTAAACGGCCGCTCTGATATTACGACATTTACAACTCACAACATACGACGATTTTTAAGGTATGATTGCTTCTAAGCCATGGTTCTGAGTTTGGGACCCGAAAAATATACTACACGCAGATATGTGTGCGTTAAATCGCGACAATTACTGATGTGCCCACAATCAGAGAGGGTTTTTTTTATTGCTTATATGGGTGGATGAGCTCGCAGCCCACCTGGTGTTAAGTGGTTACGGGTGCCCATAGACATCTACAACGTAAATGCGCCAGCCACCTTGAGATATAAGTTCTAAGATCTCAGTATAGTTACAACGGCTGCCCTACCCTTCAGAACGAAACGCATTACTCCTTCACGGCAGAAATAGACTGGGCGGTGGTACGAACCCGCGCGGACTCACAAAAGGTCCTACCACCAGTATATATAACTTTTATCTATTGCTTCTGGATATTTGACAATTTTAATCCGTATTAATCACAATTTGAAAAGACTTTTATCTCTAATTGAGAAAAAAAACGTTCCATTCGCTTAATCCCAATCAGATGCAATATGCAAATAAAACAGAGACATTCTTTTGAAATTGTTTTCATTACGGTGCACAAGCGAGCTACCTTGAAGAAAACTTTACGTGGAGTTCAATAATGGAGCTTGCGAATTATGGAGAACGGTTATCAAGGCTTACAATAAGCAAGGATTCCACATGACCACGACTTCTCTGACAAGAGTAACCGACTATGATGATGATGATGATGATAGAGTTCAATACCATATTTTTTTTCCAGTACCATGAGTTGAATGTCCTGTTGGAGTTAGGATTGTGTTTTTTTAGTGTGAATTTCTATAAAATATGGTGTCTCAAGATGTTTGGCGCGGGTTCCCATTAAAATAAAAGCCCCATTAACAATGTGGTGCCATGGAAGTTATTTCCTCGACCCGTAAACATGTATTTTTTTAATGCTAACAAGTTCTAAATCTCAGTTTTTACGGTACAACGACTGCTCCGTCCTTCAAGCTGAAACGCATTACTGCTTCACGGCAGAAATAGGCAAAGCGGTTGTACCTACACGTGCGAGCTCCATTTCCCTAAAACCAGTAAGATAAATCATAAATACAGGTTTATAAACTGTAAAAGTAATGATTAAAATCAGAACAAAACGGCAAAATGAATTTGTATCGGCAGGATCACTGCAATGCAGCTGTATTGGAGAGGTGAGCTGTGAATTCTCGTTCCGGTCAGACTTGTAAGAGTCGGGAGTTTTGGCGTGTGCATTATGCATACAGACTTTTACTACACCGATTTCATTCTGATTTCTCTCTGGCTCAATTTTTTTATTTTTTATTTTATTGCCAACGTATGGTGGACGAGCTCACAGTCCACCCGGTGTTTGATGATTACCGGAGCCCATAGACATCTACAACGTAAATGCCGCCAACCAGTTTGAGATATAAGTTCTGAGGTCTCAGTATACTTACAACAGCTGGCCCACCCTTCAAACCGAAACGCATTACTGCTTCACGGCAGAAATAGGCAGAGTGGTGGTAACTACGCGTTCGGACTCACGAGAGGTCCTACCACCAGTGAATGGTTTTAGCGCATAAAATTAATCTTAAATATCTAAAGTTTTCGTTGAAATGTGTTTGCAGATCTGGTCAACGAGGAGTGCTCCAAGTCTTTGGTATCCCGTAATTTCCTATAAACTATCTAAGAGTACTTCCTAAATTCTATACGATCTAAGAGTACTTCCTAAATTCTATGACGTATCCTTTTACAATCGTGGTTTCAGTCCTCAGCAATATATTTTATCTTGGCTTGGGTTTACTGACCACTCAGAGCGACGGTGACCGCTCACCAGCAAGGAGGCCGTATGCTCGTCTGTCAATCTATTCAATAATTAATAAGGAAACTATAGTCATTTTCATTGTGTGCTACGCACAGATCACACTGTGTGTTCATTATGTAAATACATATTCATATTATTATGTACTACCGACATAGCGATTCAAAAGATTTGATTATAGTCAACAATTATATAACATTAAACTAAATGAATAAATTTTATCATACAATTTATGAAGTTCAATAATAAAATAACCAGATTATGGAAAACGCACACAGAAATAGTACCAATAGTAATAGGAGCAACCGGAGTAATAGCCAAAAGCCTACAGAAATACATAGATAAATTAGATGCAAACATCAACCCACACATCATGCAGAAACAAGCTGCCATACACACGGTCACCATCATCACGAAAGTCTTGGGGGATACGGTCTTCGTAGGAGGGGAAACTGAGCCACCCTTTCCCTGAGGGTCTCGGGGCGGGAGCTCAGTAAACCGAGCCTAGAGCTCGAGTAGAGGAACAATAATAAATAATTATAAATAAAAGATAATAATAAAAGAAACGTATTTTAAATATTAATTTGATAGTGAAAATGTTGATTGAACAAAGCGAATGAATTTGTTAGTTAACTTCGTACCGTTATAAAGAAAATTGAAGTTTCATTGAACAACTCCCACTCAATTACAGTTTTGTTGAAGATAGCCTAATATTATTTGCATTTTCGTAAACTACAGATATTTATTTGTTTTTATTTTGTATTTTGATTTGTTTACGTGTGCTCGCAGTTTCTATTCAGCACAACAGTTTGAAACAGATTGATTATCATTTTCGTAGATAGAGAAGTCTATTGCACTACTAAGACAGTTTTTTCCCTATTCCTGCCGGAAAGACAGGCATAAGTTTGATCTAAAATGGAGGAGAGGTCATCTAGCACCAATGGGTGAAGTTTGATGTTTATAGACTCCAGAAACCATTTAGCAATCAGATAAAATTTAAGTAAATGCGGTTAGCGTGGTATGGACATGTGACGTGTAGAGAGAAGATGCATGTGACTAGGAGATGTATGGAAATGGTAGTGCAAGGTAGAGGGGAAAGAGGTTGACCGAAGAAGACATGGATGGAGTGTGTGAATGACGATATGAAAGAGAGAGAGAGGAGTGAGTGTTGAGATGACGACTGATAGAAGAGAATGGAAGACAAAAAATAGCTGTGCTGATCCATGATAAGGTAGAGAAAAAGAAGAAGATAAAGTTTAAATACCTTTAACAAACCTATAGCAAACATAGCTAAATACAGCTGCCGTATCAAGTGTTTTTAGAATATATGTATAATCATTTAACTCTGCAATGCATCTTATTACATGTCGAATTTTGTGAAGCCACAACAAAACGAGCGAAGCCTACACAGAAAAGATTTAAAATATTCATACCTCCGGCAACGCTGATTTGATTGAAGTCCTCCTGGTACGAGTTCAGTTTTATTTCTGTAAATTAATAATTAATTGTTAATTTTAAGACGAGTATAGTTGATTTTAAGACGAGATTTTATTTTGTAAAAGACTTATATTTATGTAGTACTCTTTACTGCATAAGTTGTAGTAGTGGACAATACAAGACTTCTGCGAGTGCATCATCTGCCAGAAGGCGTCACAGGGATCGCTCAGCTCTTTTGATGCCAAGCCACCGTTGTGAGGCCCTCATCTGAATATAAATCACTTGCGAATCTAGACCTTTTAATTTTAAGTACTTAAGTCCTCTTTCCTTTCGACTGTTTTTCTAGCGGTCCATCAAAATGGAATTGGGTTGGCCAATTTCAATGATTAGCCCGGTCGAACAAATAAGCGCTGAAGAATTGCTTTTTGCTATAATCTATTCATTAATATCATCGTATTAAAATGGTATTATTAAAATGTAAATTGAATTCTAAAATAATTGTCAAAGAAAACAAAGTCATAGATTTATTTCAATGTTAAAAATCTTACCCCTTTGTCATTCTGCCCAAAGTCATAAGCCCTTCGTTTTCTCCGAAACGTAATTCCTGTCACAGTCTCACCTGATTGGCATTTAGCAGTTCCATAAAATATTAATTAAACAATATTTCACATAAAACTCACCATACAATCTAAGAGTCCCTTCGCTTTTGCCGAGAGAATTCGTGCTGACACAGTTGTACGTCCCGATGTCATTCCTAGAGAACTGTCTAATTGTCAGCCACATGGATACTTTGTAGGACGCCTTCTCTTCTCTTATGGTGTATTTAGGCCTATCAAGAAACGAAAAATCAATACCATTTTATTAATATAGTTGAATTAGTCGCTCCCAATCGCCCCGGTGTTAAGTCACTACTGTAGTCCTTAGACATCACAATATGAATGCCGTTATCTCTCTTGTGACCACAAATTTAAATGTTATCAATGTTTGAAACGGCGTTCCTGAATTTTGTCCCAAAACGAATTATTATTTAGGTTAACACAATTATAAGTTATCACTATCCCACTATTTTGTACAAAGGGATAGATAAACCCATGAGCGTAATGCTGGTAACGCGGTTGCCTGATTTCGTAGAAACCTCAGTACGAGGTATGAGCTCGAAGACCTAGAATCTTGGAATAGCCGATCCATCCCCATCGAACCCCATCCGCTAACTCAAAAAGAGTAAATACACAAATATTTACCGGCAATCAATCATCGTGACAAACATTAACTAGTCTTAGTAAATTTTAAGGTAGATAATATAGTCCCTATCCGTCTGCAAACAAGGGTTCCAATTGTATTCGCTTATCTCTAGCATCTCCTATAGCTATAGACAGATCATATGAGCAATAGCTCTGCTTAATTGAGAACAAACTGGAAAAGAGATTGAAAACTAACATTTCAGATATTTTCTTACCCATCTAAGAGCATTTCTCCCCTGTTCTTGATCCAATAATTGATTGTATTAGGATAGGCCTCCACGTAGCACTTGAGTTTGACGTCAGTGCCTAGTGGTGCACCTAATAACTGGTTTGGCACTTTTACGGTAGGCGCGACTGTTGGCAAATGAAAAAATTAACCTATTGGGAAGAATAGGGTCATTAAACTATTATAGATAGGCTCGGAAAATTTAACCTACTAGCTGTACTCGTCCGCTTCGTTGGGCATTTAAAATTAACATTATTATATCCCACCGCCACAAAGATTCTCATCATTATCGCAACTGGTATAGGGCGTCCAACACTCATATAAATATTAGCCTATCCATTAAGTACATGTATTTTCCATATGGATACCAAGTTTCAAGTCAATTGGATGCATGGTTCAGTAGTTATAACGGAACATCCGTGAAAACCACTGTAGATTTATATATTAGTATAGATATGAAAGAATAGGGACATTAAACTATTATAAATAGGCTAGAATAGGATTTAAATTAGGCTTGAGTTTGTTGAGAAATTGATCAGTACATTAACAACGAAAACAGAATAATCCATGCACATTTTCGTGAATAGCGCACTCGTGACTATATTAAAATCGCGTGACGTCATAAATTTTTGACTGCCATCTATGAGGGAAAAGTTGGAATTTCCAAATGACAAATGAATCGTTCATTTTTTTTATTGTCCATCTTACAACTACACTTTACGTAACACGTATTCTTTCGTTACAGAGCGACGGCTTCAGGTCGAATGAGTTGGTGAAATTATTTCAGTGTTTTGTATTATTTGTTGTCTAAATTTTAAGTCAAACCAACAGTTTCACTCCGTCTCTATTCAATGCTATATCAAACTATATTTTCTATCTTTCCATTATGATTGAAAGTAAAAGACATAGCGCATTGTCACTATTTTTAGGTTACCGGCTTTTACTAAATAATAGTTGATCGATAACACCTTCGCGGCGCGGCGTCACAACAATGGGAATATATATATCGTGTCCTTTCTAATTATTAGCGCAGGATATGTCCAAAACAGGTTAACGGGATCCTTCGTCAAACTTGACATTTGATCGTGTTTACGCGGGTTTTTTGGGGGTTCAACGATTTCGTATGTCGTTATAAATTTTACTATCATCACATTATTTAGAATCATAAAGTTTTATTATAATAGTGGTATATTTGCATTTTGCTATTATGCAGATATTATCATATTTAGAATCAAAACGTTCAACTGAAGCAGTCGTGCCTAAGGTTTTCTTTATTTTTTATATATTTATTTATAACTTTATATACTAGACAGTATAAAGGCGGACTTAATGCCATAGGCATTCTCTGACAGTCTACCTTAGGGGAGTGCAGAGGTGAACCTTGGTGGGTGTAGTGTGATAGTGATATTACTTAAACATAATAATATGTGTATATATAACACACATAATATGTATAGATACAAATACTCGTACTTATTTAAATACATATACATAAATACATACATATATATATAAAGAAATATCAATTAGATGACTCTTTACTGATAGGGAAGCCTCGTCCTATCTTTCTTGTAGTAAATAAATTATGTTTTTCATTTTGAAGGGCGGAACAGATATTTTACAATAAAATTGACATGAAATCCTCACGTTCGTGTTACGGCCAGGTAACGTTCAAGCTCCTACACCGATCGATTGCAATAAAATAGTTTAATGGCTTCAGCTTTGAAATAGTTTTTCTATAAGTATATTGGAACGAAGTCTCTTATAGGACGACGCGGAGGGGTACCCTAACCGGGAAAAAACGTCCGTAACATAAGATTTTTATTATTGATGTATAGTCTTAGTATGATGGCTATACAGTGTCTAATGTATAGTCTACGTGATGACGGTTTTCTATGATAGAACATAATTAGGCTTAAGGGTTTTTTTTATATTATTATTATATATTTTTTATAAATCATTGTGAATAAAATAAAGTTGATAACTTTGTAAAGTAGTTTTTTTATATTTATCAATAAAAAAATCATAATAAAAATGTATACCCGAATAATTGTTTTCTTTATACCTCGAATAGAACTTAAAATTAATATTTTTATAATAAGGAACTTCGTTCCTATCCGGTGTCCCACGACACCACACATCTTTTTTTTTCTATACGTCACGTACAGTTGACTAGCAGTGTGATCCTCTTGCTGACCGCTGGAGGCACGTCGTTTGAAGCTATGCAGAGGAAAGCGCCCATCTGACGTCGATCCACGCGCCACAAAGGTAAAGAACTACCCACGTAGTTCTCAACTGTAGAGAGATAGATTAATAAGGAAATGTCTAGATTTCGTCCCCAATGAAAGATCTGATAGAAACTGAGGTATGAAGTGGAGTGAGCCACAAAATCGTCGATCGCGTTAGTTATGACTGGTTTCTGCATGGCATAGATCCTCATCGGGTCTCCGTGTGGCTTATTACGCGAATGATGTGTAGCACGTTTGCCAAGGGGATGGAATACCCCGAGTATTTTTCCACTGCAGGCATTAAAAGTTCGTTTAAAATCCACGGATTATCTATCTATTTTAATACAAAGTGTCACTGAAAAATTATCTCTTCAAAAGACACATTTAACCAACTAGGAAAAGGGAAAACAACTTTTAGGGTTTATTTTTACGTTTTTTTTGTCACTATATTGCAAAATTTTGAATATTTTACAGATTTCGTGGCTTACAATACGCAAAAATAAAAAATAACACTGAAGCAAAAGTCATGTAGATATTGACAACCTTACGAATTTAATATCCCAACACACTAAACGGTACCGAAATCGTTCTCTTCAAAATCTGTAAGTGAATATTAAATTTCTAACTCAATAATTTAACGGTGGCGTCCAATTAAAATTTGGCTTCGTTTCGTAAAGTACAAAGTTCTTGTTTGCAGGCGAACGAGTTGGTTTCGCGGCATTTACCTTTTAAATCCATTTTAAACGCGTCATCATCATTGATTTGCCCAATATTTTAATCAAAAATGCCATGGCATTGAAAATGTTTTTATGATCTAAAAATCATTTATTACGCTTATATTTTAATAATTCACTTGAAATAAGTCTGCAAAATTAATTTAAACAAGATAAAATTGTGTGTTATGATGTGATTTATTCACACGTAATTTTTTTTGTGGTTTCTTGATTGTCCGCATCTTCAAAATTGTTATGCGGCTTTTTAATAAGATTTTTCGGAAGAACGAATTGTGAAACTTGAAAATGAGGTACATAGTCTAACACAATCTTGAAATTCCTCCACTAAACACACACTTCGACCGAACGAATAACCTAATATTATCGTTCAGTTTAATATTAATTCTTAATCTAATTCAGTGAGGTTGGGTCTCCGCTGGGAGTCGTCACTGGTAATGTGGCTCGGTCAATTTGCAAGCAACACCTGCGGCATAGATCTGCATACGGTCAACCGGATTAACTCAGAACAATTCGTAAGAACATGTTATTGAGGCATTTAAGGGGTATTTTAGAATCGCCATATTTGAAGGGAAAGTAATAGTTAATATTTAAATATTTTGTAGCTTTAGCAGTGGAATAGCTGTTATATATTATTGAGATTTGGACTTTATCTCTCAGTGTAGTAGTCACTCTGCTATTCCTAAGGCTCTCAACCGTATGTCTTCATCGTGACCTGAAATATTTCGTTCACATAGCGCGCAAACACTTTAATAGCCCGGTTCATCTGGACTCAACCCAAGACTCATCGTTACCGATAAAATAAAAAGCCAAGAGGACAAAGCCCAAAACGGTGGTTTGACCAGGTGATTCAGTAGCTCGAAATGCCGATGAATTGAAGCTCTTCACCAGGTAAACGATATGAAGACGTGGAGAGAAACAGTGTGAAGACTACAGATGAGTCACGATTCTCAATAATAAGAGAAGACACTGAGATGAGGAACCTTAAAGTGCACGAAGCATATGTATTCTATAAAGAGAATTAAATAAAAGATTTGAGGTATTGTCAGTTTTTCCAATGACTTTTTTTTCAGTCGAGAATGTTTTTTTAATTTTGCTGTAAACCTCGACACTCTACCGCCAGTTATATTGCCAACGTCCACGGGGATCGTAAGCGCTTTATGTCAGGTAACGTTGGTGTTGTACTGACCCTGATCACTGTCCTAAAATGTGGATTCGATAGAAGGTCGATGTCAATATCTTTTTTAAACAAATTTATTGTTTGCAGTGTACTTTATTTTGTGTCGTATTGGTCTTTCTGGTACTTATTGCCCTGGAGTTAGTTAAATATGTTTGAACATGTGATCGTTAATTTGTTCGTATCAAATGCCATTTTATCTTCAAAATATTACGACTAGAAATATTACCTAAACAAGAATAAGTATTAATGTCTTGATAACAGGCTATTTAAAAGTTAAGAAGTTAAATGAATGTAAATTAGTTAAGTCAACTAATAGCTCTAGGTAGACGAGCTTACAGGCCATCTGCTGCCACTCACCTTGAAACATGAAGTCAGAGACTCAATTTTATTTCACTGTGACTCTCTTAACCTTCAAACATAAACGCTTGAACGCTTTCTAAAAATGCGTGAAATCTTTACATTCCCGTGTGGGCCCTAATAACCTTACCTTTGTCAAAATCCCTCGACATGGGTTTCTTAAGCAGAATAGGTTCGTGGTCTTCCCTTCTCCACGTTATTTTGGGTGGGGGATGACCTGTCGCCTTGCAGGTCAATGTGGCATTCTCCAACTCCTGCACTGAGACATCGCCTGATGCATCATCACTGATGATATCTGGTGGAACTATAGACAAAACAGTAAAGGCTTTAGTGAATCAAATTAAATTGGATGTGTAATTTAATTTTTATTGTTCTTTTTTACGTATAAAGGTTGACAAAAACAACTTTTAGCTACTTTGTATGCAAAAAAATATTTAAATGGACTCCACATCTTTTAACCTGTAGTAGATATAACTAGATGTAAGACCTGGTACTCATTAAAGTCCTTGGACACCAAAGTTATTAATCTGCATTCTCCTTGAGACATACCATTGAAGCCAGTAAATCCGTTATAAGTTTGATGATAATTTCACGACCACTGTATAAGTTTTCTTGCACCAACCTATAGTGGTATGGCATATAGTTCTAATACTACTGGTGTTAAAGGAGATAGAAAGTATAAAATTTAATAACGTTCATTTGAGAGGGAAGAAGATCCACAGTGCATTTCCAGAGATCATTTTTGCCACGTACCATCCGGCTTTGGAATGAGCTCCCTTCCACGGTGTCCCTAAGCGATATGACATGTACTTCTTCAAACGCGGCTTGCGGAGAATATTATGCGCTAGCCAGCGGCTTGGCTCTGCCCCTGGCATTGCTGACGTCCATGAGCGACGGTAACCACTTACCATCAGATGGGACGTATGCTCATCTGCCTGCTGGGGCAATAAAAAATAAGATGCGATAGTTGGATAATATAATGAAGTTTCTCACTCTGCAGTTTCTCGACACGCTTCGAAAAGTACCAACAATTTAAAAAGATTTTACAAGATCCAAATATTCCCTAAGGAGAACAAGTTAATCCCGTGTGCGGTACGCGAGGCTGGTGGAATTAAAAAAAAAAGACTCGAACTCTAATGGTGAAGATTGTTGGCGCTTATCCAACACCTGTGATCCTCATATCGTGAAGATGAAACCCGAAGCAAAACAAAGTGCTTCAAGAACTGTTAGTTGGTAATATGCGCAAAGAAACGTCACTAAAAATCTAACAGAGAGCAATATTCGAATAACAACGACCGTGAAAACATGCGTGAAAACTATGAGAATTCGACACTAAACGTAAGCGCCGTCCTAATTATATCTATGACACCGATGAAATATGAAGATATCGATCAGAACACATGATTAATAATAGTTTTAATTTCAAAAAATGAAACATTGAAATAATTTAAATGGTTTAATGACTCTATCTCATAGATATTATACCGTGAATGGTGCCAAAAGGGTTCAGTCATGAGATCAATGTCGCAATAATAATTGCATTATGTGACGGTAGTCCCATTTTGTAAACAGGAATGCATGATTCCTTCACGGCTAAAATAGGTGGAATGACGATACCTAATTAAACAGGCTTGTGCACGCCATGCCACTAATAATTAGAAAAAGAAAAGACAGATTTACGGGTCTTTATTGCACTCTTTCATCATCAAAACTAATAAGTATTCGAAATAAATGTAACTATATCTTAAACTTATTAAATCAATCACGTGGTTAAGCTTTAAATGATTTCAAACACACAAAACAACTTTAGATCTGCAAGGGTCAGAGAACTCTGAGGCAGAAACCAGACAATCACAAATTAAGGTCGCTACTGCTGCCAGGATGATCTAGTTAATTAAAAAGTCTCTGTGTACCCAAGAACTAGTACCTGACGTATTGTACAGCGCCCATATCATTAATACTCAGTCAACAAATTCAAAAAGGGTAAATATGAGCCACGCAAATCAAAGAGTATCACTGGGCCCAGTCGCTGATTGAACTAGTCCCAACCAAAAAATTACTTAAGACACTAATATCATAAAAAATATGGCCACAAATTCCCCTTTTGATTATTATTATTATTTATACTATTTAAATGACAAAAACAGCTCATAAATAAATCCTTCTTCTTCTTTTTCTCCACTTTATCCCACTAGGTGGGGTCGGCACAGCTAATTTTTCTCTTCCATTCTCTTCTACCATCCGCCATCTCAACACTCACTCCTCTATCTCTCATATCGTCATTCACACACTCCATCCATGTCTTCTTTGGTCGACCTCTTACTCCTCTACCTTGCACTACCATTTCCGTACATCTCCTAAATAAATAACTATATAGCTAAATAATTAAAAATAACTAAAAACAAATAATTTTAAAATTAAACGCCGAGATGTAATCGAACCGATTTTTTAGCGAGCTTTGATATGAAAAACAAATACAAATTATTAATAAATGGATTCCAAATTCACAAAGAGCGAAACGATTTCCATAAAATGAGGGTTTTTCCTTCACCTTAAGAATAATTTATTCCAGTACGAAGTTCTCTTTGGTTTTTTTAACTAAAACTTTATAGCTAACCTTATTTTAATTAAGAGAAATGTATGGGAGATCGGGAGGGACGGAAAATTCAAAAACTCTCCTTTGGACTAATGAGAGTTAATTAATAAGTTTTACGTTATTTTTATTACCGGTTCAAGATTGATAATTTTAGAATTTCAATTTATATTTTTGCTGTATATAATGTGGTATATGATGGGTGAAATCTCCATTGTCAGGAACAACAGGAACAGGTAGGCAGCGGCTTGGCTCTGCCCCTGGCATTGCTGAAGTCCATGGGCGACGGTAACCACTCACCATCAGGTGGGCCGTATGCTCGTCTGCCTACAAGGGCAATAAAAAAAAATAAAAAAAAAAAAACTAATCCTGATTTCCTTCAGAATGGATTCTGTCACTGTTTTATTTCAGAAATTTGCTCAATAACGCATATTGCTAAGCTATTTATAGTGTATAATTTTTTCCTGAGTGTACATTTCTTCCTTATTTCTTGTGTGTAAGATTTGAGCCACGTACATAATATATTTGCATCAACCGAAACTTGCATAGGGCCCGTCATGCCTTACGCGAATGAGGTGTTTGCTTACGCACATAGGCACTTTCCAATTCCTACAATCTCGTTTTTACAGATTAGCCGTTGGAGCTCCGTGGTTCGTGAGGAACATCGACTTACACGACGACTTGGACCTCGAATTGATCCAAAAATACATGAAGTTCGCGTCGGAACGTTACTTCGATAAAGCAATGCGTCATGATAATCGCCTTATTGTTGTCGCCGTTGACTACTCCCCGAATCCTGGTCACGCAGAAGCCAGTCACCGTCGTAGCCCTAGACACGTCCTTACGAATCCATCAGATCTAATAACTTTCCATTAGACGCCTTTCGCTCTAACCTAACCTAAACATCAACCCGTTGAGTTTCTCGCCGGATCTTCTCAGCGGGTCGCGATACCGCTCCGGTAGTAGATTCATTCGCGAAGCAGCTACTCTTGAGTTGTTAGATCTCCCTTGGGGGCGCTCGGGTAGCTGTTCCCGCCTGTAGCAAATCCCGCCCCTTTTGGCTGAGCCCTTGCTTGCCCAACTGTCCTTGTGAAACTGGAATGGTCTCCGGGCCACCAGTAAATCCTCAATCATAAAAAAAACCTCGTCCACTCATCTAGGCAATAAAAAGGAGTATATCGAGCATCTTATCCCTTATTTCGCAAATGAATTTTTGCATCCACGCATCTTATAGAAGATGCTTGAAAGACTATATTCATCTAAAATTTTCTATCTTAAAAGCCTCGTGTACAAGTACACGACATCGTATCAAAAGACCTTCCAAATAAAAGAAGAAAAAACAGAAATACTTCAAAACGTTTACAAGACGGCGGAATAAAAACAAACAGCTATAAAGCCGTAACTGAATTTAAATGTTAAATGCAAATGTAGGCTCCGACGGAACGTTTAGAGGGGCGAGAAGTTTCTTATTACGAACGAAAGAATGATAAATCAGGTGTACGAACTTAAGAAAAACCTTACCTTTCCTTTTTTAAGGAAGCTAGTTTCCGTGTGGTGTCAAATATTTTAGGGCCGAGTATTTATAGAGAGGGAGAACGAAAATATACTTTTCTCCTACAACAGATACATAACTAGATTTTGTCGAAAAATATCACTTTAGAGCGTTATCATGCGTTGACTCATAATTGAAGTCCTTAAATTAAATACAACATGGTAGTACAGTGCTTCAACGACAGGATAGCTAGGTAATTTTGATGCGAGGTATCAAGTAGTATGAATTGGTGATCGGTTTGGTAGGTTATTAATCATTTAAGATCCGTGACAACGCACAAAAGTACGACACTGGAATAACTGGTAGTAACTCTTCGGGCTCTCCCAAAAAGTCAAGTGGACTGTCATAAATTCCTACTATTTAACTGATAGGATTTATATCATATTTGTCATCATCCATCATCTACGGCTTTGTTTTTAACTGAAGTAAAAACGTTGATTAAGATGAGATTTTTCATTCATTGATTTCAAATTTTTTTTATATTTCATTTCGTCTTTTGCCTGTCCAATAAAAAAATCGTCATCCACATTTTTTTCCTTACCTAATAGCTGGTAGCGTAAGGGACTATTCCAGTTACGCTGAGGGTGATCATCCAAGCGACAGTCAAGCTGGTCATCCACAGTGGCCACAGTTTATGGCCTCCTCTAAATATTTGACATAAGTTGGCGAAATATTTGTTAAGGTCAGCTTGTTCGGTCTACGTTCTTAAATTTTGGTTTAGGCCATGGTTTAGGCCATGGCAGTAATGAAAGCGGTGATGTTTACTTATTAAATCATGTCACAAGGTGAGTGGTTTTTGTTGTTCCGGTAACTACTTAACACCAGATGGGCCGTGATTTCGAACACCAATCTGATTCATAAAGGACTTTGACGATTTCTTATAGCCCACATGTAGCAAAGCAGTCAGTCACTAGGGTCCATAGGCACAAATTACAATTTCAATTCCTGTAATCAACACGGTGTCACTAATGAAATATAAACGATTCCTTTCATTTTATTTTTTCTCTCTTAAAAGATCTCCTTCGTGAATATCCATTTCGCGAAATACCCTCAAGACTTACGACGTTAATTAAACTCGTTTTAAGGAATTAATATTTTAATATTGTTTCCCGAAATGTGTCCGCGTCGCGGCGTTTTGGGAATATTTATAATTTTGATA